GTCCTAAAGAAACAGGAGCTAAAACTGAGCGTTTCAGACAGAGGCCAAATACAGGTATATCCAGACAGACGGTATGAGAAAGAAAGAACATTAAAGCATGAAATCATCTTCTAATAGAAACCCAAAACAATGACCCAAAAGTGTGAACATCAAATAATATTATAGTTCCACTCTAAATGCCAGTCATTCTTTCCAAGTAGATTTTATGGTTTGAGATTGGCTAAAGCAAATGTTGGATTATCTGAGGCCACCATCTTTCAAGAACAAATCAGACACAATGTGAGGCTGCATTAAAGGGGGTTCCTCTGTTGGTTTGAAAGCTCGATTTTGACAATATGTTTAAAAAACTTTGTGGATTAGAGTTTGGAGAAGTTTGAGAAGTCTCTGTTCTGATAGTTTACGTCGGACCGTCATGACAAAAAAATGCTTTTCTTGCAATTTATACAGTGACGTCACCGGCGCTTTCCTGAAAAGTTTAAAATGTTTTACTTGAGGCATTCGGAAAGGGAAGGTGCTAAAAAAGAAGGTGCTGGGTTCTGCGCTTTTTCCGGCGGTATGCGCTCTGTTATAATTTAGATCAATTAAAAACATGTCGCTCAGAAAAAGGCTTAATGTGGACACAGGCATTTCAGCATGTCGTGGTATAAATGGAAGACGAGACAGATGGTACATTTAGAGACTAACTTTAAGGCTATTTGTTTAGTTTATCACCATTATTGTTGTTTCTAGAAAATGTAGCTGGGCAACAGATGCTCAATGCTCTTCCAATGAAGCAAATGCAAGAAAAGTGAGGAATGGAAAAAAGGGAGATTATAAAATTCCACAAGGTGCTGTCCGTGTTACTACAAGGCAAGTTTATTTATATAGCACCTTTCAACACAAAGTGCTTTACAAAAATGAATAACATTAAGAGCATTAAGAAATATTGCATTTAAAAACAGACATTAAAATGGAAAGAGAATGTGAAAACATAGAACAACATAGGTATACAGTACAATACATGAATAAAAGTTACAGTGCAGCGTAATTAAAAGCAGCAGCTTTCCCTCCCTCCCTGTCCCCCCTGTCACTTACCCTCCCACCTCTACCCACAGCATCTCTGTGTAAAGGTGGTGTCGCTGCTCAGAGTAGAGTTGGAGAGACGTCTACTGGTGAAAATGTAGTAACACAGATTATATACTGTAAAACGAGAGACCATTGTAAAATTAATATAATTAATATTACAATATAGCTATATTTTCAAAAATGTCTTAGTGTTTTTCTGTCCTTTTTTAAAATCTGAATCTTACATCATTCAGTTTGATAATATATCCTGGATTCTCAGGTTTTAATGTACAGTATACAGAAAAAAAAAGGCAAACGAGATAAAAATGGGAAGAAACATTTATTAAATGAAGCAAAGATATATACATATGTGAAATGCTTTAAAATGAAACACAAAATAAACAATGAATTTCGATTGCAGATTAGTAGATTACCTTTTGATTACAGAAGTGTGCGTGGGTGCGTGTTTGTGAGATGGCAATGGTGTCATTCACAAGCCATGTTTCATTAATCTCCCATACACTCTCATATTGCCTATGAAAGCACTATCCTTCATTCATTCATTCACACACACACACACACACACACACACACACACACACACAGACACACACTGATGTGAGGTAATTTATCTCTCTCTGTCAAGTCAACATACTCTGTGTGTTGAGTCTGACTTTATGTGTTTGTCAACTTGTAGTCAACATTTTATTCAATCTGCATTCACATGACCAATGGTAAAATGGTTCTGCTGACGTTGCGGTTGTGTTTCTACGGAGAGAGCGGTGCTGCCCGACTAAGCCAAATTATTGGCACAAGCTAGCAGGAGAGGTAACCAAAGAAACAAAACATAACCAGCAGTTTTAAGCACTAGGCTCTGCGCATTAATAGCATCATAAATTAATCTCAACATTGAACAAACACACTATTGTGCATGTAAAACTATGAAAATAGCGTTGATACTATCTCCGTGTGTAGTCAATAAAGACCCTCTAGCAATCATGAAGTATTATGATGCTTGACCTCATATGGCGTTTTAAAAAAACATATGTTGAGACTATTGTTATAAAACACGAGTATGAGTGCACTCAAAAGTTGCACATTGAACCTGAACACAGGTAAGCTGTAATTTTGATATTCATTCTGTCAGGTTTGGGGAAAATAGGACCCAAGTGCAGTTAAAAAATACAAAAAGGTTTGTTAACAAAAAGCGAGCTTTATTAAAAATTAGGGCTGTCAGTCGATTAAAATATTTAATCGCGATTAATCGCATGATTGTCCATAGTTAATCGCGATTAATCGCAAATTAATCGCACATTTTTTATCTGTTCTAAATGTACCTTAGAGGGATATCTTTCAAGTTTTTAATACTCTTATCAACATATGAGTGGACAAATATGCTTTATATGTTTGTTTATTATCATTTGAACAATGACAAATATTCTCATGAATATTAAACACAACAACCTCTGAACATTACAAATATTCGCCTCAATTCAACCTGGAACCTCTCTCATACAATAATACTGTGTGTGTGTGTGTGTGTGTGTGTGTGTGTGTGTGTGTGTGTGTGTGTGTGTGTGTGTGTGTGTGTGTGTGTGTGTGTGTGTGGAGACACTGTGATGGATCGTTGGAGCTATGTGCAGCTCAAGGCATATATGCTCGAATGGGAGCTGCCTGGACGCTGCAATCATGTTGCGCGTACTATCCGTGCTGAGTGTGCTGACTTTTCGTACAATGTCCCACTGTCTGGCTACCTGCATAAAGTCAAGTGCTCAGCGCAGTTGTCGGCGAAATGTCATTGAAACAGCTCCTTATATCCGTTAGCGCAGCTAGCTAGCACCAGATGCTAACAACAACAACACGTAAGGTGTGCCTCGCTCGCGCGAGTCGCGCCACACATACACACTCCCTCCCGGTCCTCCCGATGGCCAGTCCGGGCCTGCCAGTGAGCGTGGAAGTGTGGTCTGCCACAAGCGGGCAGCAGGAGCGGGGCTGTCAGCATCAGCTTGTCGATGGTATTTTACACTCGATGCGCTCTGAAACTACGGCGGCCGAGGACAAAAAATACACATGCGTTAATCGCGTTAAAATAATTAGTGGCGTTAATTTTTTTTTGCGTTAACGCGTTATTAACGCGTTAACTTGACAGCCCTATTAAAAATAGAAGACAGGAAAAACAAGAAACTAATTAACAAAAACAAAACCGGGGAGCACGACAGACAGGAACAAACTTACAGACGGGAACAGGCAGGAGACATGGACAAGCATAGACGAGCATAGGCGAGGCAGGGAACATGGACACGAAGAGACGACAGGTAGCATGGACATGAAACGACAGGCAGGTAACAGACGTGGAGCACAGGGGAAGACAAGACTAAATACACAGAAGGGTAATCACAGGACAAGACACAGCTGGGCAGGGGAGGCAGAAACACAAGGGCAACAGGTGAACACAATCAGACAATCAGACACACCAGAGGCTCATCTCAATACCCCTCCTCGACTCCTCTCTTCCCCTCCTCCGGGACTTGACCCGGAAATCGATCAAGACACGCCATGTTGAAGGACGTCCCAATAGCTGAAATGCACACGGAGGAGTCGAGGAGGGGTGCGGGAGGAGACGAAAGGGAGGATACACGAGAGCAGACTACGCGGAAGTGTTTTCACTACTCGCGTATAAAAGCCCCGCCCCCACCTTCACAGCTGGTCGATTTCAAGAAAGGAAAACAGAGAACTGGAAGAATGAGTGGAAAAGCGTCACATAAATGTATAAGTGCTCACAGCTCCGTGGGAATTATTATGTGCAATTCATTTCTTAAGGTTATACTAACAATTTAAGTCATGTTTAATGATCTTGAACGTCACTAAAACATAGCTATTAAGAAAGCTATTTCATAAATGGCTAGATCTTGATAAATAACAATTATTTGTTTTGTTTTGTGTTAAAATATTGAGTAGTTAAATTATTTAAAATGCACAGTCCTGAATGTGGGTTTGTGGTGAATGTGGGGATCTACAGGACACACATGTTCAGATTAAAGGCTTTCACATTATTATAATTATAATTTTATTGAAATGTACATTTTACACCAAAACGGAACACAAAAGCAGGACCAACCATCATACATTGAATTCCTTGACTAACAAGAGAAAGATTCATAATTTAAATACATATTTAACAACAAATGGGCCGGTTCTAAGGGGTTATTCAGTTAAGCCCGATGAGAGGGGATACAGCTGTGCACATGTCATCATTAACAGACGTCGTTTAAGAGTGACGTTTGAGTGAACGAGGACATCCCAATTAATACCTGAGGACTCCTCTGTCCTCGCGTCACCTCCTCGTGTCTCTCGCTCGCATCTTACGGAGGCGGAGCTAAGACGCAAGGAAGGGACGCGAGTGAGGGAAAGGAGGAGTCGAGGAGGGGTATTGAGACGAGGCTCAGGGAAACTAACGACAGGAAGGCAAACACAGGAAGCAGGACCAGACAAGACACAAGGAGGAAAACATTTCAAAATAAAAAGATGAAAAATGAAAACATAAATCCAAAACCATGACACATTCAGCATCTGACCTTCCCACAAAGTAGATTTCTCTATAGAAAATTAACAAATATTTATAATTAGAAGCTAATAAATGCAATATTGCAAACCAGCTTCTCTATGTGGTTTATCAGAAGTCATGTTAACCTGTCTCGCACATCATGTGCAGTGTGTGTCATTTTTTGCCTCCCTCAGTGAATTCTAAATACTGTGCTTCTTCGGCGGTAATTGTTATCAAAGCGCTTAATATTGCAGTGATTGCTTAGAAAAATACAATTGTAACTGTCTGTTTTTGTTTGGTTATTTATGTGAGTTTCAGTGTGAGTTATTGATTCAGGACATTTGTTTCTTTTTTCCTTTTGATCTTTATTTATCTTGAAGTGTCTCATTGATTCTTTCTTTCCTGACTGTAGACATGTATCGTCTGGAGTTGGCTGGTGGTCTGGGGGTCATACTGTTGCTGCTGGGAGTCCTCACTGCAATTTATAAGTGTTACAACCTGGAGATCATGCTCTGCTACAGGAGGCACTTTGGAAGCGATGAAACTGAAGATGGTAAGCTTTTTTAAATTGTTTTATTACTTTTTAGGAATTGACTTGGTTTGTGAATTGGTGTACTTTGCTTAAATACAAAACTTATTTCTTTACAGGCATTATACATTAAAATAAACTCCCCCTGGAGGGAACTTTGGGATTTTAGCCTTTGCAGACCATTTACATGCACAAATACCATTATAACACACTACAGGAAAGGGAAAAGCCCAGAAGCATTGGGCCCCTTTAAATCTAAGATATTTATTTTATTTGTATATTTAATTTTTAAACCTTTTTTTTACCTCATGAAAGACAAAACCGTAATCATTCTGAAAAAACAGTTTGAAATAAATGTATATGTGTACACACAACCATAGCCATAATAAGTTTGCGTTTTTGTGTGAGTAATAATAATAACATGTTTTATTTGGACACCTTAAACTGCATAGAACTCCACAGGTAAAAACGGTGACAGTATTTTAAAAAGCAGACGGGTAGGAGGGGGCAAGGCAGTCACATTTAGTAACAAACCAGATGATTGGAGGGGTGTAATCATCAGCAAGGGGATGTACTTATATATTAGAAAACAATAACAGGAAAGGTATGATATGTCAGTGTGCGAAAAAGCACACGTCCTATCGTCCGGGACGTGTTATTTACAATATCGGACAAGTACATCTTTCCATTGACGTGTCCGACGGACAAGTGACGTTTTTCGCCCATATTTATTGACAAATTATTGATAAATTCAGCTTACAAAAGGCAGAACTCATTCGCAAATTGTCCGTGTCCGCCATTGTTGTTTGCGACCGCTTTAAGTTTCCTTCTTTGTCATATGTGATTAGGGATGGGTACCGAGCCCACGTATTAAACGGGCCCCGGGGCGGAATTATTAAAGACAGCTGTACCGTTAAGCTCCGACGTTATCGGTCTTTTTATCGGTACTGGAGACATTTAAAAAAGATATGTCATATGTATTTATGCTACATAAACATTATATTGCAGTTTTAGTTTCGCCAACTGCGTTTCTAATATGCAATACGACTACAAAATGCGTCTATGATGTATTTTCGATCTTTCCAATCCAGACGAGAGATCTCTCTCCCCCGTCTGTGTGCGAGGGGGCGGGGCAGTTTACACACACGCGGCTGCTACATGCAACACACACACACACACACACACACACACACACACACACACACACACACACACACACACACACACACACACACACACACACACACACACACACACACACACACACACACACACACACACACACACACACACACACACACACACACACACACACGGCGGAGATGGCAGTGAGAACTTAGCGCTCCAAGGTGTGGTTAAACTTTACCCGTCTCGATGTGGACAATACTCGTTGCCAAAAGTTCAATAAGAGTTTAGCATGTAAGGGCGGTAACACGAGCAATTTGTCTAAACAACACATTATGTCCCGTAATGTTCCACCACAACCTCAATCTTCCTCCAGAAGAACCGTTAGGCGTTTTTAAAGAACCGATAAGAGTACCGTTAAAGGACCGGATCGATAAGCGGTATCGATAAAAGTAGTAGTACCGTTAAAACCTTAACGATACCCATCCCTATGTGTGATGCAGTAAAATCTTACCGCTCACTTACGTTAGCGGTGTCGTAAAACCGTGGGAAAATGTAAAATACGATGCCGATGAAGAAGATTCCAGTGGCCCCAAGAGGAAGATTCTTGTATAGCATGTTTCTTGCCAAATATGAACAAAAACACAATAAAATGTTACCTTAGTTACAGTAACCCAGATTCTTGTATGCTTTATGTTGATATTTAATCATATTTAAAATAGGTGCAGCATGCACAAAGTATAGCTATGGACAAGTAAATTGCCAAACTCACTTGTTCACTCACCATGGACAAGTACTCTCTAAAAACATTTTCTTACACTGTATGTTGGTATCAAATAAAAGATAGAGAATTATTACATTTAATCAAGTAGACGTAGGTCAAAGAAAGCAACTAAAAAAAACACACCAAAGTAATCAATTACATTTTTTTTATTAGGCTTTATGTTTCTCTCAGTATCAAATGTTATATTGAAAAAGCATTAACATAAACAAACAAGCTGAAAGACAAGGAAAAACAAGTCATTTTGCAGTATTGATTTCGAATAAGTAAGCCTGATTTCTTGCTCAGAATATTCCCAAGATTTAGTTTGTACTCTTCAAATCCTGATGTAGAAATGACCAGGAAGTATCAGAATTCAGAATCGATTCAGTTAATTTGATTTAGTGTGAAAATATGCCCTGTGCTCTCACTCACTCACTCTGTCTCTCTCTTTACAGATAATAAGGAGTATGATGCCTATCTGTCCTACACTAAAGTGGACCTGGACTGTTTGGGCAGGTCAGTTACCTCTAAACATATGTAGTATATGTATTAAACAATGTTTTTTTGTTTTTTTTATCGTGTTATCAAAACCAGAATTCAAACTCACTAGCGGAGCTGAAATATGGAATGCAAACCTTGACCATGTGCTTAGAACATCTAAGGTAGTGTTTAAACATCAATTTAAAAACCCGGAAATAACATTTTACCACTTTCGGTTCCCTCGTCTCAAAGTCATCCGTTTTCTGTTTATGGTTAAACGCCTGAAATAAGATATGTGGTTAAAACAACCCTAAGAGCAAGGCAAATCCAGCAACTCAGGGAAGAAATCAAGTCTCTCAGGAGGGAGTACAAGAAGTCAGGAGAAGTTGAGAGGGTCTAGCAGATCTTCGGGAAATCCTCAGGAAGAGGAGTGAACCAGAGGAGAAGGCCGAGAGAGAGGGCAATAAGGAGAGCGGCGTTCCTGGCAAACCCCTTCAAGTTGACCAAGCAGCTCCTTGGCTAAAAGAGGGGCGGCTGGTTGACCTGCTCCAGAGACAACATTAACAGTCAACTCAAGTGCACTTAGTGACTCCGGGAGAGACCAGCCACTGGGTCTGTGTAATGCATTGATAACACCACCCGAACCAACAGCCTTTCCTGAGAGAAGTTGAGGAAGTTGTGAGGAGGGCGAAATCTAGCTCAGCACCAGGACCAAGTGGACTGCCCGAAGCTACTCTATCACCTTTGGATGAAAGGGGATCTGGAGAAGAGGGAGGATTGCACAGTCTTGGAGATACGCCAAAGGGGTATAAATACCGAAAGAGGAGAAATCTGAGAACATCAACCAATTTCGGGTCATCTTCTTGCTTAGCGTGGAGAGCAATACCTTCTTCAGTCTGGTGTCCAAGAGACTCTCCACCTTTCTCCTGAGCAAAAACTACAATGACACATTGTTACAGAAGGGAGGCATACCGGGGGTCCCTGGTTGCCTGGAGCACAAAGGAGTGGTGACACAGGTCATCAGGGAGGTGAGAGAGGGCAAAGGGGACCTGGCGGTGCAGTGGTTGGACCTTAACAACGCATATGGCAACTCAATACCCCACAAGCTTGTTGGGGTTGCACTGGAGAGACACCACATACCACAGAAGGTAAAGGACATCATCGTCTGAGCTCCCCGGAAGATTCAAGGCCTGGATTTACCAGCACGGGATCCTCCCAAGAATCCTATTGACTCTGCTTATCTATGAAGTTCCCATGACTGTAGTGGAAGGGTTAGAGTGCACGGTGAGCAACTATCTCCGCAGATGGCTGGGCCTGTCTCGCAGCCTGAGCAGCATTGGGCTTTATGGAAACATTAACAAGCTCAGGCTCCCTTTCAAAGTGGTCGGCCCAGGAATTGTTCTGCGGACCGGGAGGAAGTGGAGGGCAGCCGAGGCAGTTCAGCAGGCGGAGGCTCGGCTGAAGCACAAGGACCTGGTTGGGAGTGTGGCACAGGGCAGGGCTGGACTTTGGATAATAACGTCCACCCAGTACGGCACTGCCACCGCAAAAAGAGAGGCGGGAGCTGGTTCAAGAGGAGGTACCTGCTTCAGTAGAGGAAGAGCGGGCAAGCAGTACAGTGGCCATGTGACAGCAGGGTGTCTGGATGAAGTGGGAACAGGCGATAGGGCGGATTGTTACCTGGCAGCACATCTGGAGGTGGAACCAACAGAGGATCAAGTTCTTGATTCAGGGAGTTTATGATGTCCTCCCCAGCCCTTAAAACCTGTTCACATGGGGCAAGTTAGAGACACCTGCATGCCCTTTGTGTTCTAAAATAACACTGTGCTGTCCCCGGTATATGTAGTGTATATAGCTTAACAGCCAGATAAACTCCCTCCGTACACCAAGACTCTGAAGACGTGAATCCTTTGCCCACAGGTTTAATGGTATGAGGATGGTGTGAAACTAAAAATAAACAAGACAAAATATAATCAATTCTATGATCATTTCTACATACACAAATATGCACAATGTATATAAATCAACACAGCTTTAACATTAATTGCCTTGTTATATTTACTGTAAGCTTTTTAATGTATTTATTGTAATTCTAGAACTCAAACAGTTAACAGTAAATGGCATCATATTTTAAACATATAATCAACCATTTGTACATTTATTCATTTAACTCTCCTTGCATTAACCTTGTACAATATTGAGACAACTCGGAAGATCTCCAGCATTAGACACCACAGAATACAATATTTTCTAAATATAATCATCTGTAATTGTTAATAACATAAACATAAACAATACTTTCATACGATGCGATCAAAGGCATTAAGACGTATGCAGATGTAGCTGGATTTCTTACAAACAATAACACATGGCTCACAGAGCCATGCTTTGCCTATTTCCTCTCTAATGATCACCTGACACACCCATCTGATGATGTCATCCTGATTCTTAAAGGGACCACGACTAGGCACAATAGGCACACAAAGAATAGCCCAGAAAATGCAAACAAGAGTAAACTTAGCTGTAACAGAACAAACACAGCTGTGCTGTGTTGTTTTTTGTATGTTTTGTTTTGTTTATTTGCCTGTACAGCACTTTGGTCTGGAGGTTTAAAGTGCTGTATAAATAAAGCTGTATTGTATTGTATTGTAAAATAGGGAATCTCGATCAAATCCTGAGCAGCTACTCCAAAGCACTGGGCAAGGGGCGTTATCGCTGGAGACATGACCAGGTCCTAAAGTCCATTGCTGAGGCAATAAGCAAGGGGATTAGTGATAGCAGATACACCAAAACTACAGCAAAGTCCATCAGGTTATTCAAAGAGGACGAGTGGCCGTTGAAAAGACGACTCTGCTGGTTTACTCTCCACAACACGAGACTGGGTGATGACAGTTGACCTTGAAAGGCAGCTGAACTTTCCAACACACTTTAACCAGTCCAGACTGAGACATCATCTTGGTCTCTGAGGCCACTAGACAGCTCATCTTGCTGGAGCTCACTGTGCCCTGGAAGGAAAGGATGGAGGAAGCTCATGAGAAAGAAGACAAAGTACCAGGAGCTGGTGGAGGACTGCCGCAGAGGTCTGATTAACCTCAGTCGGGTTGCCTGAAAGAGGGTGTCTGTTGCAAGACCTGAAACACCCAATAACTCCAGGAAACAACACTGAAGATGTGTTCAAGTTTGAGAATCAGAAGATATGTGTGGATTAACTTCTGATCAAAACGTCTGGGTATCATGAATGCAATGTTTGCCACAGAGTTTACTTTATGCCATATGTGACCCGCTCTATCGAAATCAGTCGGAAGTCGCAACGGCTCATTTCAAAATAAATGTGGATTTGCGTAAAAAAATAGTTTTTCGGGGTTCGGGTGTTTTGTTTGATTTTAAATAAACAAAGTCTTGGCTTTCAGAATATGAAACTTTTATTTCCAAAATCACACGATAAATACATGTTTGAAGCTTGTAAAGGGAAGATGACAGCTCTCACTCGCCACTCTGCTGTTCCGCAGCGCCGCCCCCCTCCCTCCGGCTGAAATTATGAATGTAAGGCGTATAGTAATCATAGATAACACAGCAGGGTCCGTTACAGTTTGTTTTCATCTGATTTCAAATAAACAAAGTCTTGGCTTTCAGAATATTAAACTTGTTTCGGCAAATTCAGATGATAAATACAACTTTGAAGCTTGTAACGGCATAGTTACAAGCGGAGAACGGCGTAACTTGACGTCACAGCAGGCATAACAACAGCCGGTGTTTCTCGTGAGTGTTTTCCCCGGGAAACAAACACAATACTCACAAACGCAAAATTACACAAACACACACACGTATACACACACACACACTCGTGAGCTTCCCCCAGACCAGTAATCCAAACGAAAATATCTTCCCTCCGTAGTATTTTGATCATTTGATCCGCTAATAATCAATCAGATCGATGGATTCCAGAGAAGAGGAAACTTTGAAGGCCTTTTTCTCAAAATGATGACTCTGTGACAGTCATTACATAATGTGACATATTTTGCTTAATATTTGGAGTACAAAAACAATCCTGATATCATTAGAAAGCTAGGAATCTCCTCTTTCCAACAGTGTAATACAACTCAAAATGTGTCTTCGGGTCAATGTGACTGATTTCGATGGAGCAGGTCACATATACCGAAATCCAATGGGAAAATCCTATTGCACTTGAGGGAGCCCTTTCTGATGCTAACTTCCTATATTGAAAATATTGTGAATCTTGTATTTATATTTAAATGTTTACAATGATATTGAACACAGTAGCATTGTAGCAAAGTAAACTAAAAGCCCATTTCAATGTCATAGTGCCTACAAAAAGTGAAAGATTTACAACCAAAACAATTTAGAGTCAACAATAAACCTAACCTGTATATCTTTTTTTGCATTTATTTTATTATAATTTATAACCTGGAGCACACAAGGAGAACAAAGCGACTCACAACAATGTGACTGATTTTGAAAGAGCAAGTCAGTGGCGTGGTCTGGCCTGGGAGTCCGGGGCACATTCAAGCTTGGCTCTGTCTGTGTGTGTGTTTAGCACAAGCTCTTTTTTTTGCGAGAGAGAGTGCACCGGTACCAGGGATTGTTGTTAGCATCTGGTTAGCTAGCTGCGCTGACGGATATAAGAAGCTGTTTCTACAACAAGGTGGAGCGAGAGTTCTCTGCCTCAGATAACTACAGCTCGGGTGAAGTAAAGGACTCTGTTTGGATAGTTACTGTTAGTCTAAGTTATCTCAGTGGGTCTCAAATGGTTTGGTCACCATTACGTAAACAAATATTTCCAAACCACACCTTTATATAATTGTATAACCTCTGTGATATTTATTGTTGGTGTCAATTGAGTAAAAAATGTAATCATGTTAATCGCAATAATAATCTGTAAATAATCACGTTAAATCACAACATACTAGTAATTCATTTTATTTTGGACAGATATAAAATAAATACATGTACGGTATAATGATGAAGAAATGCATGACAAACTGCTAGGAGAAATCAGAGGGTTTGTACCTTTCAGCTTAGTTTTAATGGCTTCTGAATTATTGCCATGAAGTCAGACAAGAACCTGAAAATGAGCATGTTAATGTTACCTCAGCTCCATAAATTGTTGATCTTGCAGTTTACACTTCACTTATTAAAGTTATTGTTTTTTGTCCTCCTCAGCAGAGGAAGCAGCGATGAAGAAACATTTGCTTTGGAGATCTTGCCGGACGTTTTAGAGAAACATTATGGATACAAGCTGTTTTTACCAGACAGAGATCTCATACCCAGCAGCAGTAAGTATCCATACTCTATCTACACACACATTCTGTCTCTCCCTCTCTATGGGCCGTTATAGCCCCAAACACGCTAAATCCCTCACTGTCAGAATAAATAGGAATGTATGGTGATTCTCATTTTAACACACTCACAAACAGACACACACATGTCTGCGTAAGATCTCAGGTGATAATCTCAAACCACAAAAATTAAGTCTACAGAGCGTCACTTGACCTAAATAACAGTTACTCACACGTTTATTTTTCATGTTTTTTATATTAAAGCAACACACACAAACACAATCTAAGTCTTTCACAGCGTGATTTACATCTATATCTCACTTTCACACCAACAAATTCCCATGTGCACTGCATATGATGCACAGAGTTCACACAACACACACCGTTTGTCATTGTATCTGGGGATATCTGTCTGTCCAACCGGAATGGGAAATATGATTGTTATTGCTCCATCTGTCAATGCTGTCACCTGACACACACACAGGTCCACTAATATGTGTTGATAGAAATATTTTTGGTACATGCAATAAGAAGAGCATAAGATGAAAATTGTGGATACTGTAATATAAGGATTTGTTAGTATTCTCAACATACACACACACACATCCATCATTGTTAAAGTCATCCCTGGCCTTGCTCGCTGCAGGGAAGGTGAATGGAGAATATAGATTGGAATGTAGGCAGGTTCATCTGCTTCATATGAGTGTTTTTCACGGAAAACCACAATTGTTAAGGAGGTTATGCCCATTTTCAGGTAAATACTTGCATTTTGGCTTTCTACTAGAATATGTGTGCCACCTGACTAGGAGGAAGAGCTACCCTCAGCATAGCGCACAGCTCAAAATAGTCGCTGATTGCCGCCCTTAATGTTCAAATATTCCAACTTTAACCCCGATTGACACTGGCTTTTCTATTCAAAACCAAATTTCCCGAATTGGGATCAATAAAGTACTATATTATCTCTTATGGAGGGTCAGGCCGATTGTCGAACCTCAGATTGAGGAGGAACAATGCGGAGTCCGTCCTGGTCGTGGAACGACGGATCAGCTTTTTACTCTCGCAAGGATCCTGGAGGGGGCCTGGGAGTACGCTTAACCGGTCTACATGTGTTTTGTAGATTTGGAGAAGGCGTATGACCGGGTTCCCAGGGAGTTACTGTGGGAGGTGCTGCAGGAGTATGGGGTGAGGGGGTCTCTTCTCAGGGCCATCCAATCTCTGTACTCCCAAAGCGAGAGCTGTGTCCGGGTCCTCGGCAGTAAGTCGGACCCATTTCTGGTGAGGGTTGGCCTCCGCCAGGGCTGCGCTTTGTCACCGATCCTGTTTGTAATATACATGGATAGGATTTTGAGGCGTAGTTGTGGGGGAGCGGGTCTGCAGTTCGGTGGACTAAGGATTGCACCACTGCTTTTTGCAGATGATGTGGTTCTAATGGCTTCATCGGTCTGCGACCTTCAGCTCTCACTGGATCGGTTCGCAACCGAGTGTGAAGTGGCTGGGATGAGGATCAGCACCTCCAAATCTGAGGCAATGGTTCTCAGCAGGAAACCGATGGACTGTCCACTCCAAGTAGGGAATGAGTCCTTACCCCAAGTGAAGGAGTTCAAGTATCTCGGGGTCTTGTTCTCGAGTGAGGGAACAATGGAGCGTGAGATGGGCCGGAGCAGCGGGAGCGGTACTGCAGTCGCTTTACCGCACCGTTGTGACGAAAAGAGAGCTGAGCCAGAAGGCAAAGCTCTCTGTCTACCGGGCCATTTTCGTTCCTACCCTCACCTATGGTCATGAAGGATGGGTCATGACCGAAAGAACGAGATCGGGGATACAAGCGGCCGAGATGGGTTTTCTCCGCAGGGTGGCGGGCGTCCCCCTTAGGGATAAGGTGAGAAGTTCAGTCATCCGGGAGGGACTCGGAGTTGAACCGCTCCTCCTTCGCGTCGAAAGGAGCCAGTTGAGGTGGGCGCCTCCCTAGGGAGGTGTTCCAGGCACGTCCAGCTAGGAGGAGACTGAGGGGTAGACCTAGGACCAGGTGGAGGGATTATATCTCTTTGCTGGCCTGGGAGCGCCTTGGAATCCCCCAGTCAGAGCTGGTTGATGTGGCCAGGGAAAGGAAAGTTTGGGGCTCTCTGCTGGAACTGCTACCTCCGCGACTCGACCACGGATAAGCGGGAGAAGATGGATGGATGGATGGATTATCTCTTATCTTATCTTATTAATAGGGCGCGTTAATAACGCGTTAACGCAAAAAAGAAATTAACGCCACTAATTATTTTAACGCGATTAACGCATGTGTATTTTTTGTCCTCGGCCGCCCCGTAGATTCAGAGCGCATCGACTTTAAAATACCATCTACAAGCTGATGCTGACAGCCCCGCTCCTGCCGCCCCCTTGTGGCAGACCACACTTCCACGCTCACCGGCAGGCCCGGACTGGCCATCGGGAGGACCGGGAGGGTGGGTGTATGTGTGGGGCGAGCGAGGCACACCTTACGTGTTGTTGTTGTTGTTAGCATCTGCTGCTAGCTAGCTGCGCTAACGGATATAAGGAGCTGTTTCAATGAAAACAGAGGAGCGACATTTCGCCGACAACTGCGCCGAGCACTTGACTTTATGCAGGTAGCCAGACAGTGGGACATTGTACGAAAAGTCAGCACACTCAGCACGGATAGTGCGCGCAACATGATTGCAGCGTCCAGGCAGCTCCCGTTCGAGCATATATGCCTTGAGCTGCACATAGCTCCAACGATCCATCACAGTGTCTTCACACACACACACACACACACACACACACACACACACACACACACACACACACACACACACACACACACACACTTTGTATTGTATTATTGTATGAGAGAGGTTCCAGCTTGAATTGAGGCGAATATTTGTAATGTTCAGAGGTTGTTGTGTTTAATATTCATGAGAATATTTGTCATTGTTCAAATGATAATAAACAAACATATAAAGCATATTTGTCCACTCATATGTTGATAAGAGTATTCAAAACTTGAAAAATATCCCTCTAAGGTACATTTAGAACAGATACAAAATGTGCGATTAATTTGCGATTAACTATGGACAATCATGCGATTAAATATTTTAATCGACTGACAGCCCTACTTATTAAGCATGGATGTGTAAGAGAACTGGATACAGCGTTAGAGGCGGGACCTCATTCATTCCTATCAGAGTTGCTCAGTGGCATGCACAAAGCCAAAATGGCCTGCCTCTCAAGAGCAAAGGTATCCGTATCTAGGCCCAAAGAGCATATGTGCCCTTGAGTTGAGCTTAAGCCCCGCCTTCGATCTGCAGCGTGACAATCGACTTGGCTCAGTCAAATGAATGGCGAGAAAATAACTCTGGATTCTGCTTTAAGCAAATTTCAAAACTTTTGGAACCCAACGATTTTGAACTGGAAGTTGATTTTATTTGTTTTAATCCACCTTTTTATCCAAAGCGACTTACATGCTTATGATGTTATGCTAAAATGTTGAAGAAATGTGCTTCAGGATATGGTACACATCTTATACCTGCTATTCTTTTTTTAAGCTTTTTTCAGAGGCGCCTGGTTACTTTCACTGCCGTATAAAACTAATTCATTCAGATATGAAGCCATTCTCTACTTTGCATTAGCATTTTATTACCACAACCTGTCCAAAGACTAAAATAACTTTATAATTTGAAGCTCCAAAGGAATATGTGTTATTTGAACTATTCAACATTTTCTCTTAAAATACATGAATACATTTACTTAAATATGGTTTATAATGAATCACCCTAAGCCAACATTAGTCCTCCTCCCAGCACATTCTCTACAAAAAAACACACCTGCATCCTAAGCGGGGTTTGAAAAGTCATATTTCCAGAGGCTGCCTCTCTGTTCCCTAATAACATCCCAACAACAGATGTCCACTGTGCAAAACATGCATAACTTACACTAAGCTGCATATGAATGAAAGTTTACAGATTGTGAAAATAAATGAGTTGGTAACAGCCACCCAAAAGAGTTTCCTTTTCAATGCTTACCAAAGCTATTGACAGAGCAACATGGTAAAAAAAAAACACGTTCAATTATCCACTCCATTAGCCCTCCGAAGAGTGCGAGAGTTAAACAACGGGGTCATTGGCTTGGGTGTTCAATTAATTGATTTACATAATCCTCAGAAATAGAGAGCGGGAAGAGGTAGGGAAGGGCAGAACAGAGGGGGGGGGGGGGAGAAAAAGACAGAGAAAGATGAAGAGAGTGATGGAAAAGCAGAGAAGAGAAAAAAGGGAAATTTTCAGATGCAGTGTACTATTTCTGCCCCTCACATTGAGCGGGAAATCAAAATGTGTTGTTGGAGAGTCTCTGTCATTAATTTAGTTAGCACAAGAAAATATGGTAGCAGTAGAGAGACATACGGAGATAGGAGATTTGTTTTTCACAGATCACTCAGTTTTAGACACTTTCGGGAACTACAAATTTGAAAAATAATGGGAACGGCGTACTTTCCCAAATAATTGTAAATAGGACAGTTAGGGAAGATGAGTTCAAATAGACCTAAGGATGAAGCAACAGCACTACAGTGAGGATGTAATAGGTCGCTCAGATTTTAGTTATTGTTTTTTCTTTTGGACATTAGAAGGTGGCTAATGGTTGCCATATTGCTAACGATATATGAAGTGGATTTAACTTCTCATTTTGGGAAATTCAACTAACTGAAAATATGCTATCTGTTCCAGCCCATTGAGTGGTGCAGCGGTGACGTATTTTGTAGGACGACCCGGCAGTTATCTTCGCAAGGGCTCTCTCGACAAAAAACAATGGGACTGTTTCATTGGATTTCAGTATATTGCAGAAAATAAGCTTTGTAGGAAACACACGTTTATGATACTTCCACGTTTTGGTCAGCAGAATAATCTCCACATATAAACACCACTCTTTACATTTTTGATGCATAAATGTAAAAAGCTAACATTAGGCTATAAGCTAACAACATCATGGTACCATGGTTGTGCATCACCACCACTAAGCTTTAAATGGACTGTTGTTCGGACGGATGATGTTTAGTAGTCTAATTTAGTCACTTGTTAGCAAGCTCTGTTATCCAGACACAAAGAAACTTCGGACATTCACAATTTGGGTGGTTACTGACGTATCTAATGTCCTAGTACAAAACGTGAAAATCTCTTAAGCTTGTGTTTCAACAGACGTTATTTCAGGCATCTAAATGTTGACTTTGAAACAAGGGAACCGGAAGTGGTAAAAGCTAACTAATTTCCGGGGTTTTCCAGGAGTCATTCCTGCACCACTGTATTCACCTCACTGAGTTCACATTTCCTTCCATAAGTTATAAGTAAAAGCTGATGGTGGTCAGCACAACTCTGACTCCCATTAAAGAGCTGTTACCAAAACTCTTGCACAAGCATTCCTGTCACTCTGCTGTAAACTCCTGCCAGTCATTTCCTGAACAAAAAAGGGGAAGGATGACGTCAGCAAAAATACATCAGATACTATACATACTGATGTTCAATGTTCTCTGCCTCTTTATTTAAGAACTTTAAATCTTATTGTTTGTCTTTGCATTTTTGGGAAAGATATGCAAAGCAAAAAAAATAGCTCAACATATTTCAAGTCAAACAGAAATAGGGACATGTGGGTGGTCAAAGTGCAGTTGTGATTAAAATTCAAAACTACTAGCTCTCCTGAAAAATAAATGACCTTTTAAGCACCTATAATGGTTACCCAATACTTAATTTCAATGTATCTCACAATGTTGAGCTATTCTTTTTAAGAAAAGCTTTTTCAATATTGGTCCTGGGACCTGTTCAATATTTGAATGTCTTATGCACTTGATAGTACATTTTGTGTTCCATAATAGCATATGCCTCTTTTCTTCTTCCCCTAAAGTGAGATGAGAACATTGATAGCCACCTTAACTTACTCCCTCTACTGTGATAATACTTCCAGCAGCTGTACAGTCCACTGCACCCAGCTTTTGGTTGTAAATAGTTACAGCACGTAATTCTCTCTAAAACCACAAATTGTTGATTACAACACATTTACATTTGCATTCACATCACACATGTTAAACAAATTACAAATAAAGCACTACTAAGTCAGCTTAAGAGGTGCTGGTAGTTGTATTTTATCAGTTTGAACTAAACCACGTTAGCTTTTTGCCCCTTTAGCTTTTATGCTATGTTAGGCTAACCTTATTCTGACTCCAGCTTAAAGGGGACCTATCATGCAAAATGCACTTTTGTACGTCTTTTATACATGAATATGTGTCCCCGGTGTTCCAGGGAACTCACCAAGTGTCAGAAAACACAACCCTCTCTATTTTCCTCCATACCCAAATCTCTAAAAAGGGGCTGCAATGGATCTGATAAAAACTGATCCAGATTTGAACACTTCAATGACGTCACAGAAGTGGCGCTACGGCTATTGGGCCAACTCTCCACCTATCAGGGGAATGTGGGGTTGGGCCACGGCCGGCCATTGCCGCTCGAAAGCGCTGGAGACGCTGTAGTACATATGCCAGGCCTCTAAGTGGCGCTGTAGTCTGCCACAAAAGCAGCGAAGAAGACTTCCCGCCCATAGTTACCATGGTTACCCTTCTGTTTATTCTCCGCTGTGGCTTTTTTTCTCCCTCCCCGAGGCAAGCGTTTGCTCCCGCTGCTTTAATTCAATGCAATCCCTCCCCGTCGAGGCAAGCACTGTAATTCTCTCCGGTTAGTCCACCAGCAGATGACAAACACCCACCTCTCCGCCTCTTCCAAGGAACGAGGGGACCGTGCAGCAGAGTTTCAGTTTCAGTTTCTTTCGCCGGTCAAGATGTCCGTTAAAGTTTAAATCTTCCGGACAAAATTTGAAAAGTGCCGGTCAAAGGTCTTCTTTGTTATTTATTGAGCTTTAAAACAAATGAATAACGACTCTATAGGCAGGGGTGCACATAACTGGTACGCAGGTACGCATGCGTGGCAACAATCTGAAATGCGTACCGTAACTTGTGTCACAAAGCGCATTTGCATACCGACGTACTTGTGAAGCTTTTCCAGAAGGCGGTTAGATCACCGGACGACAGAGTCGGTCTCCGTGTGCACAGACAGGGCTGCTGTTAATGTCGGTCTGTACAGCAGCCCTGCGCTAAAACAGCTGATCACAACGTACACACGCTCCGCGGTCACGAAGCTCTGTACTCCACCCCCCCCCCCCGTTGACAATCGCCAGAAGTTGGAGTACCAAGCACTGACTCCAGGTACTCATCTGAGTACCTCACTGAGAAAGTTGTGTGCACCCCTGGTTATAGGCCTATAACAATATAATAAAACACGGAGGACGGAGATCTTTTTTTCTCCCCCTCTTGACTTGATCAGAGCACGGCTCCCCTCTCCTGCAGGGGGGCGTGGTCAGCTGCAGCTCACAGAATCAGCCCAGTAGACAGCAAACAGCACATAGAGCGAAATGAGGCATGGCTAAAATGCATGATCTGTTTGGTATTTTGAAAACAGAAACGTATAAATATACCTTATATAGGTATGGCCCTACAATATATCATTTAAATATAGCATGATAGGTCCACTTTAAGGTTTATATCAATCTTCTAATGTCAAGCAAGTTAGCATATATTTTTACATTTTCTAAACACCATTCCGTCAAATGATGATTATGAGAAAAAATGCTTACTTTGTCAATCCTGTTTTGTATTTAAATCAGATAGAAAAACAACAAGGAAAATATTTACTTTTGTTTTGGAACTGTTTCTTGTCTTTAACATTTATTCCAAACAAGTTCATTAGAAAACAGACGATGTATTGATCTTCATTTTATTCTTAAAACTTCCCTTTCTTTCTCTCTATTTAGTTTTCCCTTTGTCTCCATGTGTCTCTCTCCCAGCCTACATCGAGGACTTGGCTCGCAGCGTGGAGCAGAGCAGACGTCTGATCATCGTTTTGACTCCAGAGTTTGTGGCCAAAAGAGGGTGGAGCATCTTTCAGATAGAGACACGCCTCCACTCCATGCTGGTTACCGGGGAGATCAAGGTATGACATGGGAAGGAAACAGGAAGTACAAAAATAAGAGACATGCAGAACCATAACGTCGGAACTATTGCATTGTTTAGAGCAGGGGTTCCCAATAATATTTTTTTTAATTTTCGCACCTATGCCACCAGTCATATAATTTCATCCAGTAGCTAGTTAATCTTTCACCAGAAAACCGTTGAAAATGGCTTTTATGATGTTCCGAGGGATTCGGCGGCTCAGCCTAACCCCTAGATTCCACCGGGTCTGTCTGCGGCGCGTTACGGGCGCGTTACGGCTGCGCCGCGGTGCTCACGGCGATCGCGGCCACTCTAGTCAATGGGTGCTATTCCACCACACGCGGCGCGTTACGGCTCAGAAGCGGCTCGGCGCAGGGCTCCTCTAAAATTAGGATGAATCCTATTTTTGACGCGGCGCAGCCGTAACGTAAGGTCGGGCAGGCAGGAAGTGGAACGTTCAGAGCATATATAGCATATATATATATATATATATATATATATATATATATATATATATATACACACACACAAACACATTTTGCAGACCCTATCCCTCCGTAGTCTTTCAAGTAGGAGGAGAAATGCCAGCGTTCTCCTCCGGTTTACAGGCACTGTGTAAATTATATATATAGAATAATTATGATGATGAATGCATTTTTTTACCACTAAAATACAGCAACACATCTTTGATTCATGTCGTTTATAACTGGAATATTACAGTTATTATTAACTTTGTCTGTACAAAGTAGCCTGTCCAGGAAATATGCCCAAATCAACAAAAACTGCGAGCCGGCAGGCAAGACGCTCCGCTTCTGAAATGCTTCTGAAACGTGCCTGGTAGGGTATGACGCCGGAGGAGGCCGGACCAAAACCGCGGCGCAGACTGACCCGGTGGAATCTAGGGGTTAGGTCTCAGCCTCTTGTGCGCACAAGCATGTTACCGGTGCGCCAAGTAGGAAGAGGAGCGCACAGGAGACAACCGTTTGATTGCAGACTGTTATGTTTATGTGGGGAAATGGTGGTGCATACATTATTTGAGATATATTTCAAACTCGGACTTCATTTTAAGGACATGTCGGCCAGGGGTGTAGAGCTATTTGTTTAAGCACCGGATTGGCAAAACAGGAGAGTAAACCAGTCTGCCTTGATCTATGAATTAATGTCCGGGACTCTCACGGTATCTGCTGCCCGCAGCTGTTTTATAGAAGGAAAACCTCCTTCACTTCATGAAATGGCTGCAGCATCAGGAGGCAGCGGGACGTATACTCCGCCTCTGAGAAGTGCAGCACCAGCGGGTAAAGAGCTGTGCCTTTTTACGCACCGCATTCGCTGTGTTTAACTTCATCAGAACAGCTTAAGAGTGACTGCAGGCTGCTACGTGTTAACCACACACACCTCTACACACATCTCTACACACATCGAACTGCCCGATTACTCCCCCTTTTATTAGTTTTATGAAGGAGATGTCCAGTCAGTCACCAAGGCGCATGATGTGTATGTGCTCTGCTCAGCTCAGCTCTGTGTGTTCGGTGTGTTTGTGTCTGTCCGACACCGGCATTTGTTTTCAAATGTTTATGAACAGTAATTTACACACATATGGCTAACTCCATATATGTGGCTGTTCCCAAAATAAATTAGTTTAATCTTAATCTCGATGTAGTGCTAAATGCTGTCGGAGTGCACCGGAACGAACAACACTATCATAATATCTTCTGAAAACAAATGCCAGTGTCACACACACACACACACACACACACACACACACACACACACACACACACACACACACACACACACACACACACACACACACACACACACACACACACACACACACACACACACACACACACACACACACACACACACACACACACACACACACACACACACACACACACACACACCATAATACGCCTTCTCCTCGTTTTCCCAGCATTCACTGGATTATCCGTAAATCAAACAAAACCAAAACGTTGATTTATCTGTTTTCCCGTTTTGGTTTAAAAACTGAATAACGTCGGTTTTTTGGTTTTCCGAAAAACCAAAAAACGACACCGGTTCTTTTTTCAACTTTGTTAATATGTTTTGGATGCATATTGTTCTAGTATTTGTTCAGGCTGTTACATACAATTAGCCTCTGTTGCTACCTGCTGGTGGTGAGTAAATATTAAAATGAGTTAAAATTGACAACCGGTCCGCGATTTTTTTTTAATGTATCTGCACAATAAAGGTTGGGAACCCCTGGTTTAGAGAAGTTGTGAAGTACTTTGCACAACACTTTGAAGAGCAGCTTAGTTCTCCCTTCTTAAACACCTCCACCTCTGTGATTCTTTCCAGGTGATCATGATTGAGTGTGCAGACCTGAAGAATGTCATCAACTACCAAGAGGTGGAAGCACTTAAACACACAATCAAGGTATGCAGGGAGGGCTAAATAGAGGGAGGGTGTGATTTGTCTTCAGACAGCAGGAGGAATAATAATAATCTCTTCCCTTTCCTCAGGTTTTATCCATCATCAAGTGGAGGGGTCCTAAGAGCAATGAGCTGTCATCTAAATTTTGGAAACAGGTGGTCTACGATATGCCTGCTAAACGCAGAGAGACGTTGTCCAGACGCCAGGTACACTGCTATTTACCAGAAATTAAAATCAAATATGTTTTCACAATCCTGCACAAACCGGCACTGTCTGGATGAGCAGAACTACAAACCTTTACATTTTCCAACAAAAAGTAATACAATGGAAACAACATTACTTTTTAAGAAAAGAACATAATGGTTTGGAAAAAAAACTGTTGAAGATGCACATCTTAAACAATATCCACTGAAACCTTTCCCCTCCTACTCATGGACGATGCATTAGCAGAACAACACTGTGTCCATGGCATGTCCAGGAGCTTAAGGAACTAGCTGTGTTAATGTAGTCTGCACATTTACTGATGATCCCCTGGGGGGCACACACACACACACTCACTCACGTTTACCATGTGTTAACACTTCAGGTGGTGTATGACCTGATTAGCTAAGATATGTTCTCCTGCAGGATATTCTGCTCAAATTAACACAATTTGTATGATTTTTTAAGTCTAAATGCAATTGCCAGAAGTAAAAAGCTAACGTTTATATGAACACTACTAAGCTAAAGGTGGCTAATATTCGGAGTGATGACGTTTAGTAGTTTCATATACGAAATTGTAAGCAACGGTTGTCTTCATGACACATAGAAGATTCAGACGTTCACTAGTGGGGTATTTACTGACATATTTTATGTCCCATACCTAAACGTGAACATCTTTTAAGGTGTAACCACAGAACTTATTTCTATCTTTACAATAATGTGATCAAACATCTGTTGACTTTGAGACAAGGTAACCTGAAGTGGTAAAATGCTAACTCATTGCCAGGTTTTAGAACTCATGCCTGCACCTATATATTCATTCTCCTATAACGCTATGTAGCAAGGAGACGAGAAGAAAAGGTCAAGTCGTTTTTCAATTTATGGGCAAAGAAACACACTTTATAATTTGTTGGCTCGGGAACTCTCAAGAATTCAAGCCATCCATCTTGCTCAGCAACTAACACTGAATGGAGATCAGCTGTGTTCTGACCCTCACCACCACCAGAACCTTGGAGGTTGACATTTATGGACTGCCTGAGTCAATGTGAACCTCACTAGTTCACTTAACATTTGATAGTGACCTTAATGAACTAAATACCCAAATACGATAAAGTGAACTTTAGCTAAATAGTTTCAGACCAAAGGAGACAAACAGGGGCTATGATGTCATCCTCACATAATATCCTGTACTAATATGAGGTTTGAAGGCTTTAAAAGAAACACTTTTTATGGTGTTCGACTGTGAATACCCCGCAGGGACCTTCAAACAAACCCAAATTAACTTAATCCATTTAGATCAGGGGTGCCCAATACGTCGATCGCGATCGACCGGTCAATCGCGATCGACCAGTCAATCGCAAGGGTAGTGTGGGTAGATTGCATGGCATTGAAAAAAAAAGAAGAAATTCTTTTTTTTTTTTAAGTTAGCCTATCATCCATCCTTACTATGGCTTTTGCCACTTGATTGACGTACAGGTAAGCCAGTCTGAGTTGTATTGTGCCATACGGGTTCATGCAGTTATGAGGGGGCCTCACATCCTCATCTGAAGCGCAAATGCGGCGCACTATTATACACTTATGCTGCGCAATTAGTGTAAGCGCGCCACAGTTTATCCACCGTTTAGTCCACTAGCACCCCCCCCCCGCCCGCTCACGACACAGATTGGGCAGGGGCGGCCCTGTAGGTAGATCATTTGGGCTTGGTCATTTTAAAAGTAGCTCCCAAGCTGAAAAAGTGTGGGCACCCCTGATTTAGATAATAAGGCTATGAGGTTCAAATAGTTCTGACTGTAAACAATTCCCAAAGGAAAAAGTGTTAATCTGTCTGTCAAAAGTTTTTGACTTTGATTTCAAATAACCTGTGGTATGCACCAAGGTCTCCAATCCATCTGAAGATAAAAATAAATACTACTTTCCTAAAAATGTTACTCAAACAAGACTGAATTATATTTTAGTTATGAACTATTAGGGTTAACTACCTTGGCAAAGGAGGTTTTCTTTTTGGTTTGGTCTGAATGTTTGTCAGGATTACGAATAAACAACAAGCGTAGGAGGGTGTTGCACAGGCAACAGTAAAACTCTATACATTATGGAGCAAATCAGAATGATGGGAGCATAGACAAAAAAAGTCTTATCTTTTGACATAAACATGTATTCCAATATGTTTCCTATTACTGTTGTAATTTCCCAAATCAGTTTAAATATCCTTGATTACACAAACAATTGTATAAATCTGCATCGTTAAAGCTATATAACTGTTTCCATGCTAACAGGTGATGGACTCCGGCGAACAGGGTCTCTTTGGTGACCTACAGACCACTGTGTCCACCATTGCCATGACAACCACCTCCGCCTCCTTGGCGCCCCAAAATGACAGTCGCCATGGACATCATCAGGTAAGCTGCTGCATGTTTGTTACTTCAAACTCATTTTGCGTGTTTGAGTCGACATGTTTCCAGAACCAGTGGTGACCTGGATTGTTTCCATCAGCCGGTATTTGACAGCCTTTGAACGGAAAAATCTGTTCAAGTTCAAGAAATGAAAATGTCCGCTGAAAAAATATCTGTTGAGAAGTCTCAACAGAGTTTATGTCTTTGTCTTTTTCAAATTTTCAGTGCAGTAGTTTTGGAATTATAGAGATATAATTACCTTAACTAAAAAATTAAAGAGCTGTGTTGTCTCACTACAGGTTGCCTTGGGGACGGACATCCCGGACTATAACCACATGACGTTGCCGCTGGGAGGCGGTCACACTGCCACAGCAGCCCAAATGAGGCACTTCTGCCGCAGCTATGAGTTCCAGCTTCCCCCACAGCCGCCCTCCATGTCGCCTCCCCTCCCACCTCCCTCCACCGTGCAGTTCTCCACCCTGGGCCCCGGGGGGCGCCACGTCTATTGCAACATCCCTATGACACTGCTGAATGGACAGGTGGGAGAAAAAGACAGGATCAATAATTTTGTTTGCAATTCCTACCATCCAACACCTACACAGTGTATCCTTTCCTTGAATGTCCATGCTTTTGTTTATCTGCATGTCCTATCACATTAAAAATAAAAACCCTCTTTTCTCCCCAGGGGTTCAAAGCTGTTCACTGGGGAACAAGAGGTCTGTTTGGATAAAAGCAAATGTAGAAAGAAAATAGTATATTCATATTATCCAATCTAAAACATGTATTTATTTTAAAACACTGGGAAATAGCTGTCATATGCAGTAATACAGTGAGCATGGTGCACTTCTGGCATGCATTAGAGCTTTGTATTAATGCAGCCCGGGTTTTAATTGTATATTTTTGCCAGGAGTCGTTGTTTTAAGGAGATTCCTACTAATCACCGTTGTGCTGTGTTTTTTCCAGGGGCATCAGAGCAGTACGCTTGGGAAGAAACCAGAACTCCACATGAACAGCACCTTTGTACCTCTCACCAGCAGAGAACTAAGCTCTGACATTTGGTAGAGGGAGTGCGCAACTGGTACCGGATTACAGACCGGTTTACAGACTGTTTTAACACTGGATTTGGTAAAGGTTTAGACTGGTTCCTTATTGGGTGTTTGGACTGTGTACAGCCTTGTTTCTAAGGAGGGACTGCTTAGGGAATGCCTGCAGACTTGAGAAACTTTATCCCACGCCATGAAGAAAGGACTGCCTGAAGACTGCATAAGCCTTGGATTCTCAATGGTTGGATTAAATGCAGACTTCTCACAGACAAGCAGATTCATCTTATAAAACTGATTGTACACTGGTTCTGGACAACTGGGTATGGACTGATACAATGACTGGTTATACACTTTGGACCTGTGCAGAGATTTTCTAGACCGTTATGGACATGTGGATGTACAAATGGGAAAATGTCCAGGATACTCAAACAATGGTATCGAGAAACAGGAGTGCTCCTACCAAGTTGGACTTTGGAGCACAAAAAAAAACATCTCAAATTACCATCTGCTCACGGACCAGCTGTTGATTAATCAACTGCTTAAGTTCTCGTAGATGCCGCTCATTGTAGCGCAATCTCGGAATGCCGATGGATCTCTCAGTGGAGCTCGCAGTAAATCTACTTGTTGACTAGTTGGCATGTCAGTATACAAGGCAACATTCAAGCAATGATTTTGGAATACCAGTCCACCTTAAAACAACAAGTCAACCTCTTGAAAAGCTATTCCTGGCTAGCTAGCTAGCTACCTGGTTTGTTTTCCTGGAAGCTAAAATGGTTGACTTAAAATAAATGGATTCCAGCAGGAATATCAAGATAAGAAGCGATCCGTGGAGCAATTGCTGAACTGTATAACTGAGAAAGCACACTTAGCAGGTGTATATGGAAAAATAACTAGTTGTAAAGACTATTTGTCTGAAAGGCTAGTTAGTTCTCGAGCTAAAAGCACCAGGAGACTGCTAACATGCCAGCTCACCTTGTAACACAGCAATCAGCAAGTAGTCAACACATCAAGAGGTGAGCTGGCCAAGAGGTAACCTTTAACCACCAAGCTAAAAGCAAAAAGGACTTGGCTTTTTCTATTTGCATGACCATCCATTTAGATAAAAGAATAATCAAATAAATATAGATAAGAGTAAATGACACAATCATTTCTCGCAGCCTCTTTTAATAAGGGGAAGGATAAACGTATTTTGTTGATACAGTATTGTTTTCTGTCCGGCCATGAAGTAAAGATAGAAACTGATAAAGGGAAAAAAGGAGGTGTCCCTCCAAAAGCATTTTTTTAGTTTTAGGATTTTATGTATTTAGACGGTTGGTCACTATTCTAACCAGTCTTTGTTTTTAAATGTTTGTTACAATAATCTCTGTACAGCTTCCATAACTTATGCATAGACATATACATGACAGTGATTTGTTCCCTAGAGTTTATGTTAACTCCCAGAGTGTGTGAGACCCAGAGCCTTTTATTGCTTTCATTCTGTTCCTCTTTTCATCTATGGATGGATGGATGGATGGATGGATGGATGGATGGATGGATGGATGGATGGATGGATGGATGGATGGGATGGATGGATGGATGGATGGATGGATGGATGGATGGATGGATGGACGGATGGAGGGTTGGGTGGGTGGATGGATAGAGACATGGTGTTAATGGATGGGTGGTTGGGAGCATGGATAGATAGATAGATAGATAGATAGATACAAATATCAATGGATAGATGGTGGTTGGATGGATTGTTAGTTGATGGATCAATGGGTGGATGGATAGATAAATAGGGTTAATGGGTGGGTGGAAAAATGGAGGGATGAATGGGAGGTTGGAAGGTGGATGGATGGTTCGATAAATAGGGTTGTTGGGTGGATGGAAGGATGGATAAATAGATAGATTGGTTTGGGACAGATGGATGATTGATGGTTGGATTGTGAATATATTGGTGGATGGTGGGAGAATGGATATATAGATTTATGGATGGATGCGATGTGGATGCGATGTGGATGCGATGTGGATGGATGGATAGATTTATGGGTGGATGAATGGACGCAGTACTAACGACCTGATGTTTTGATCCTGACACTCTGGAAAGCAGACCCTAGCAGTCAGCCGAAGGGGCTTCGCTGCACACAGAGCCGGACTCCAAGCTGAACCACATTCTTCTTTGTGAGCTTTAAGAAACCAAGACTACTACCATAATATTTAAGCAAAGTGAATAATGTTTTTGAATTTACACAAAGGAACTGTCATTGTCTTATTAGAACAAATGAATTCTGGATATTTGAGATTGTTTGATACAATAATTAATTATTTTAGTTGTTATATTCGATGGCAATATATAGTATAGTGGTTGTCTTTTGATTTCTGCTAATTTGTTTAAATATTCTTTGGATATATTGGTTGAAATACTTTAACTGAGAGCAAATAAAAATTATATGAGTTGTTTTATACATCTTGGATGACTGTCGTCTGATGAAACTCTTTATTTCTGTTTTTTTTTTTCCATGTTCCCCTTTGCTGATTTAATTTGTTGTATCTTACTTAACCAGACACTCTCCAGGCTGTTTCCTCATTCTTTCTTCCAAAAGTCTTATTCTTACTGTTTTCGGCTCTTCCCACACTCTTTCTCTTTTAATTTCCCTGACTCCCAGTCCTTCTACTCTTCTCCCACATTTTGGATTCCCTAATAATTCTGCTGGTTGTATTGATGGCATTGTAACACCTTCACAGTGTCCCTCAAGGCTCTGTGCTTGGCCCCCTCCTGTTCACCATTTACATGCTCCCCCTCGGCCAGATCATCCGCCATCATGGACTCAACTTCCACTGCTATGCTGATGATACCCAAATCTATCTCAGCACTACTCCATCCTCCCAGCTCCCCCCTCAATCTCTTGTCAACTGCCTGCATGAAAAAACAACCTGGATGTCATCAAATGTACTCAAGCTTAACAGCAAGAAAACGGAGCTCATGGTTGTGGCACCCAAGGCGCTGCTCCGGAAGGTTGGTGACTTCATCCTCGAGGTTCACGGCAGCTCCATCTCCCCATCTCCTGAAGTCCGCAACCTGGGTGTCATCTTTGACTCCACCCTTTCCTTCCATTCCCACATCAAGTTTGTCACCAAATCTGCCTTTTCCACTTAAAGGTCACCTATCATGCTATTTTTAGGCAATAGCATAGGTCTCAGATATATAAAAAACAAGTGTTTTGCTCAAAATACCAAACAGATCACCCAATCTAGCCATGCCTCATATCCCTCTATTTCACTTCCTGTTTCAAAAGTGCTGATTTTGGGTATAATTAAAGCTTTAAAAAAAAATTGATAAAAAAGAGGGGCGGAGCTTATGCCTGCTCATGCGGGAGATTCTACCGGCAGATACTGCCGTCATGAAACGCCATATCATGGATTATCAAGGATTATTTCTGAAACAGTATGGAGCTCAAAGGCTTTCTCTCTTGCCGGTTATACCACAAGGTGAGTTCCTTTTTATTTCCTGCTTCTTCACACACATGCTCTCTCCAGTACAGGTTAGCTCTGAGTGTTAGCGATGCTAATGTAAACACCGACCATATTACGTTCAAAACAGTCGGGCATTGTTTCTGATAGCAACGTTTCTGATAATGCTGTGGGTCTGCATTGCCGATATGACGTCATATCAGACGCAAATCTGGATCAGCTCCGTTGTACCCCCGTTTTTAGAGATTTGGGTACGGAGGAAAAGAGAGGGTTTTATTTTCTGACGCTCCGTGAGTTCCCTGACACACCGGGGACACATATTTATGTATAACAGACATCACAAAGTGCATTTTGCATGATAGGTCCCCTTTAAAGAACATTGCCAGACTCCGACCGTCACTCTCGGAGTCTGTTGCAGAAACCTTAATACATGCATTTGTCACCTCCTGCTTGGACTACTGCAATGGTGTCCTGTTCAGGGTACCCAACAAAACCCTGGACAGGCTCCAGTTTGTCCAAAACTGTGCTGCCAGGGTACTCACGCACACAAAGCCGTGGCAGCACATCACTCCCACCCTCGTCCACTTACCCTGGTTGCCGGTCAAGTCCCGCATTTCCTATAAAATCCTCCTCGCCTACAAGTCCCTCCATGCCCATGCCCCCCACTACTTATCGGACTTCCTCCGCCCACATGCCCCACCCCGGAACCTGCAGTCTTCAGACTCTGGCCTGCTCACCACCGCCCGCACCAACCTGCGAACCTTCGGGGACAGAGCTTTTAGTGTGGCAGCCCCCACCCTCGGAACGCCCTCTCTGCAGTGATCTGCAACATCCCCACACTTGACACCTTTAAAAGGTCCCTCAAGTCCCATCTGTTTTTAAAGGCCTTCGGCCCCTAATTTATTTGTTGTTTTGTCTGTCTGACTGTTTTTGTTTTACTCCTGTTTATTCTGTAAAGCGACCTTGGGTCCCTTGAAAGGCGCTATATCAATTTAAGTTATTATTATTATTATTATTCTGGTCAGAATAGAGGAAATAGACTAAGGCTCTCACTGAAACCAGTTTCACACTCTGCTGCGCTAATCTGAGCAGAGCAACAGTGACTTGAATAGGATTTGAGCTATGATGAGCAGGGATTGCCAAAGGCATCAGTGAAAAGAAAGCAATTTAACCCTTGTGCCCTCCTCAAATGTACTACCTTCTACACCTTCGTGGCAAAAATGTACGCGCACAAAATAACTTTATTAAATCAGCATTCATCACTTTTTTCTACTTTTTTTTCATAAATCTCTATAACAACTTCAATCTTGCTCAAAACTACCAAACATGTAATACTTTTCAGTATGTTAGCCCTTTAAATGCCAGTTAAATTATTTGAATTATTTAGTACAAAAAAAAACACTGTTTTTCCATATAATAAATATAGGGGGATGAGGCTTTAGTGGTGATTAGAGTTTTTGATATGTCAAAGATTCGCAACAAAATAGATTTTATTGCATTAGTATGGGAAATGGCTAAATTAAAACTTGGTCGTAGGAGTAAACAAAATACATAGTTGGAAAGGTCTCA